CTCCGTGAGAACTGACTTGTGGCTTCAATGCATAGGACTGCAAACCTATTGTTGCAGGAGAATCGCTCTTGATCCAAAAGTTTATTCTTGAGCAATGAAGAGGCAAGGCCTACTTTATCTGTGCTAGCAGAATGCCACGCATCGCAGTACGTATCCATAGCCCTCTCACCCAGCAGGTGAGAACCATGCCACACTATCTTCTGTGGCCTAGAAACAAAACGTCAACTGAAATGAATTCTGCGCATCCAAATGGTTTAGAACAGTGGTCCCCAACGCAGTGCCCGCGGGCGCCAAGGCTTTTTTTTTGGGTGCCCGCTATGTTACGGAAAGAGGTTGTACTGAATAATGAAGGCCATTCAACCACGAACATCATAAAATCAAAGCGCAGATCTCGACTTACAGATGTCCATCTTGATGATTGTTTGCGAGCAGTAACATCATCCTACACTCCCAAATTTGAAAAATTGGCCGATGAAATGCAGCGCCAAACATCACACTAACTTCCCACTTGAGTAATAATAATTGTTCTTACAAAAATACGTATTTTTGATTGCATGGTTTCTTGTATCATTAAATGTCATGTTGTTTTGCGTATTATTTGGTGTCCATATCTTATTTGTCCAGAGAAAAGAAAATTTGGCTTTGTTAATTGGTTGGTGCCTGCCAAGATCTCATGAACTCTCAAATGTGCCCGTAGGCACAAAAAGGTTGGGGACCACTGGTCTAGAATGATGCGGGGACTTCCTTGAAAGGTTGTCGATCAGTCAAGTAACTAATTATTGGCTTGTAAGATACAAAAAGAGTCATTATCGTGTTCACAAAAGACTGCTATTAGACCCTGTCTTGAGAAAATCATATCATATTTCTTTGTCCATTTTAAAATTACACCCTACCCATGCATAGGTTTCTCATGTAGCTCTTGTAATCACCTTCACAATATCAGGTAGAGGACATTTTATTTGTGCTTTCCACCAGATTTTCATATGATCAAATCAAGGAACATGTAGTGCACATGGGAGAACCGAGAAATGTATAACAAATTTATGGTTGGAGAAACTGAAGGAAATACGAGGTATAAGTGGCGGTGGACATCCGTCAAAGGCTGGTACTCCAGCTTGGGGGTTGGGCATAGGTCCTCACCATATTTGGATAGACTTAAGAATAATGTAAATAATTCTACTTCCTTTCTCTTACCATGCAAAGTCGGTAAGTATATTTTTCCCACTGAAACTGTATATTCTTGCCTGCTGAGAGAAGTAACCTCCATCACCACTGAACAAGTCCTTCCATGAATTGAACAAGACTTCACCCTGAAAATGTAAAATAAAAATAATACAGGATTCTCGTTACGGGGCATGTCAGATATAACATACAGAAATATTCAGTATTTAATTTTCTCATAACAAAATATTTTCTTCCTTGTTCAAATCATTATTGAAGACAGAAAATGGTTCAGGATCACATCCATTTGTGGGATTTGGTTAAAAACTTCAGATAATAATATGGCTGCAGATGGACTTGTGATGATATACGTACAAATTTTAATGGCAGAGAAAATATTCAACGGTAGAAGTGACTCAAGATCCTGAAAAGATTTAATCTGGCACAAATTCATCTCACCTTACCAGGTAAGGGGTAGAGTACATCCTCAGTTCAACATTACCTTGGTGTTGACAACTGGCAGGTCTCGGTCAGAGAAACGCACTATGGAATCCAGGTTCTGTACTCTGGAGGACAGGAAAGCTCTGAATGTTCCACGTAGACCCGCCCGTCGAGACTCTCGATAGCACGAATAGTCTGCTCCCCTTACACCTGTCATGTCTCCTGTACATGGCTCATTCAAGGCAGCCATTCTCAGCTGAAAGGTCACGTAGTTGCGTAAGATCATGTCAGTAGGCGTGGAATATAACGGTAAATCAGCATGTTCACCAGGACTCATCATTATTCATGTTAAGAAAATTTAAACTGGTGCAATCCTTTGAAAATGGGTCGCTGGAATATGTGGAAAGCATAAGACATTGGATTCCCATTAAGAGGGTCCTGGTTTCATTGCTGTTCGGATCTGTATGTAGTACCATGTAAATCTTCATTTATGACAGACATTAACATTTTTGGGAAATGGTACCAGGCCACCACCATGGCAGATTCCCTCTGCAAACCATCACTCTAATGATCGCCCCACCATTAGGAATAACGGAATTCACCTTACAGATGCTCTCGCCTTGTAAATAGATTTCACATTTGCCAAAGGTTTGCAATGGCCAGGATAGGTTATAAGATACCATACCCCCGGGGACGTTACAAACCTAACTGCATTATATTTCAGAAAACAAACTATACAATCACACTAGTAATATATTTATAATCTAAATTATGGTCATTCTTCACCAAACATTTGTCATCTTTGTGTTGAAAATCATAATTCCCTCTCAATATAACACTGAAAGGGCCGTAGTGCTAAAGAAGAAGAATGTTGTACAACTGGTTACTAACCTATTCATGTTCTTTAATCGTAACCGATTAATATAATTTCATTATATACATACCATTCTTGGATACCACTTTGAAATGCATGAAAAATTTAATACATCTGGTAATTATTTATTTCATTTTCTGATGATATGTAATTAAAGAATAAATAAGACATTTCAGAATTAGAATACGATTTAATTCTTTGTTAAAAAATGTAATGAGGCTTGCATACTTTATTCACATATAACAAACATTCAAGAAAATGGGTGCAATGATATGGATTGAATTAATTTATCTTAATTTCAAAACAATAATTTATCACGAGCCTTTAATCTTAGTTCATTTCATGGAAGGTCAAGAATAAGATTTTTACTTACACTGGGCCCTTCTACTGGGACAGGTTTAGTGTTGATTAAATTGGAAGCTTCAAATGGAGGTTTAACAGACTGCGGCGTTGTTGTTGGTGGAGGCTGTGTTGTGATTGGCAGAAGACCTCCCAACTGAAAGAAAACTTCCATTAATCTTTATTCATGTACTAGCAAAGAGTCAGTGAATGTCACTGAATGTTTTACATGGCTATATCAATATAGTTTTCTTGTTTTCATTACTTGTAATGTGCACTCGAGCATGTTTTGACCTCACAAACTCATTTCATCCTTTTCAAGGTCTGGCCTCAGTCTTGGCATCCTGGCTTATACCGCAGAATCCATCTGGGAATTTGTTCTATCCAAATGACTTATCCCTCCCACTTAATGGTACCTGCACCTTGTCGTGGTGGTGGGGGCTTGACCCCAAGAGCTATGCTGGCGGTAGCATAGCTACTGGTAGGGCCTCCCTAGCCAGATTGGTCGAGGGGGAGAGGTCAGACTAAGACAGGCACCCTGGTCCTCCAGGTTGGGGGTTGGTCGCAAGGCTAACAACCTTGCACCGTAAAAAGGAAGATGTTTTGAAACCTCGATCAAAGCCTCGGACAGACAGACCTAACAGAGGACCGAACGGAAGAGGAGAATTGAGGACGCCATGGACTGAACACGGACCAGAGAGCCATAGAAGAAGATGTGACTTATCCTACTCTGTCAATGTTCACAGTGCAAACAAAAGAGCATAGCTTACCGCAATATACTGCCAACCACTGTTGACTCTGACCAGAAGTGCTTCTTCATCAATTATGTATGCCAGAGTCCCAACTGGGCTTACTGAAGACATCTATAACAAGACGATACATAATAGTAGGAATTCTTCAACAACTTTCTTAATTTATCTCTTTATACCTGTATCACGGTCATCCATTTCGAAGGAACAGGATCCGAAAGAGATGTAAAAATCCATTACTGTAAATGTTCACCTTCTCATCACTAAATCGTTCCAGGAAAGACATTCTTCTAGACATACCGTGTTTAATATATCCTCAAGAAGACCTGAAAGTCTACTTACTTTGGTCATGGCCTCCGCGTTCTGAAAAGTGACAGCACCTGGAACTATTTTAGTCGGTCCGTTGTCCGTGGGATAAGATTTCCCAGATGATCCAAAAGTTCCAGACGAACCTAGGACACGTTTAATCACAGATTAAATTGTGTTCTGTAAATTACAGTGAAATTCAATATTATATTAAAATAATTAAGAAAAAATATGTCAGAGACAACTTTGCGTGATGCTTTTAACATTAAGTAAGATATTTAAAATTCTTCTAGTAGAGTCTCGATGTTCACGGCTACTAATATCAAAGCTTTTCGATGGACACATTTGTAAGCCGAGTTCATTTACCTTCTATTCACTGACCTGTTTCCTTAAGATCCATCATTTTCATAGTTTTGTGATCATTTCTCAAAAGGTTTCCCAAAGAATTTCATTTGCTTTATTAACAGGAAGTTGAATGTACACTCACAATAAGATAAATTGTAAGTGATTCAATAACTTGCCAGTGTAAGTACTTCTTTACATATTTTTCCTTGACCTAACTGTAGCATTTGCTTAAAAACAAATGGAACATCTTGTAATGACTGATCTCGTTTCACGTTTTACAGTCAACCTGTCATCGTCAGTCTTTCATTCTTCTTCTTTATTACGCCATCTCCTTACAGGAGGTTGGCGACATTATGAACAGGATCCTTCCATCCTTTTCTCAGACTGGGACCTGCTCATATGTTTTTTAGGCAGGTGATACAGAAGTGGTTTGCTATTGCCTTCTTCTGTGTGAGAATGGAGTAATTGTTGGGATGCCACGGAAAAACCGGGGAAGCCCCCGGAGGAAAAATCCATGTTGAATAGACCACGGCCTTGCCCAACACAAGTTATAAATTCTGGCACCGCCGGGAATCTAACCTGAGACCCCAGGATTACAAGGCCAGCGTTCTAACCGTTAGAACACCGTGGCGGTCAGTCTTTCATTAAGAAGGACTAAATATATATACTGTATGTATATGTATATATGCTGTATGTTAATCTTAGACGAGTGATTTCTTCATGAACTGACCCATGTTACCTAAGTTTTCCTTTAAATCCTTGAGCTGCATCAATTCTCTCAGAGCCTTAACTTCTTCCAAACTTCCACGTACACTTCCTTAAGCCGCAGTAAAAGCAAACAAATGAAGGTATAATAAGACATACCAGAGTCTGTTAGTGATGTAACAAGGTACAAAAGATGTTAATGGCATTTACCTTCAAGCAACATATTTTTAACATCCTACTGACCTTGAAGTTCATTACTGCAGACAGAAGTCTATTATTTTAGAAATAAATTGATTTTCTCATACAGCCAGAAACCTCTTTTCAGCATTAAAGTGAATTAATAAACACATTATGTACTTAAAACCTGAATACACAATGAAAGACATTTACGACATTCGACCCTGATCTTAATAATGACTATCAGTGTTGTAAAGTTAATAACACTGTAGTGTTGTCATAAAGTATTGTTTTTTTTGTTTGTTTTTTCGTATTTTATTAAATATTCACCACGTCAAAAAATGTTTGAAATAAAGTTGTACACCTTAATTACATCCACATTTTCTGTCACAACCATGGATACAAATTTCTCGTACAAAAGACTGTTTTTGAGAAAAATTAAATTTGAACTGACCGAAACAGACCAAATTTCTTTGAACTATGGCAAATAGGTTCAGGGCTGCAATATGCAGATTAACACAAATAGATATGACCTCCCCAATGTGCCTAACCTGTATGCACTTACTATGCAAAGAATGCATAAATTTGCCATGTGTTCATTTTATAAATTTAATGTAATGTTAGTGATTGCTTCATAACAGGTTTCTGGCAGAACTGTGAATGAAATTAACCCTTTGCAATTCCATTTAAATTTTTTCTTGATGTAGGAGACCAATAAATTTAAATAAATACATTTTGATGTCTTAAACACAGCAATGGAAATTTAAATTTACTAATGTGACTGTAGTTGGAATCATGGAAATCTTGAAATTAATCTCCGTTAACAAAAATGTTCATCAGTGGGGAAAAGATCCGAAGTTAATATTTCATACATATTTGTCACGACGGGTATCCTCACCTGGTCGAGTGAAACCTGAAGGAGGGGCAGTCATTAAAGGGTCGCCAAAAATGCCTCTACCAATTCCTGATCCGGGAGCACCCGGCTCACCCTTCTGACCCATCAGAGACACACCTGGGGAACCAGGGGGGCCCTGCAGTCAGACAGTACAACAGATACAGTTATGAAAAAGAACAATGAATTGATAATGGCTGACAATAAAATGGATTCACTGATGCATCAAATTCATGAGGCCAGTGTAAAATTCTTGGGTATATTTAAGCTTTATAAGTGTTTGTTGATTCATGTTCAGTACCACAATGTGAGTAAAATTATATAAAATATTTTATACACTATACTTCAATTTTTTTTTTAACTTATAACCTTTTTATAAGAAACATAATACTTCACACTTCTGAGGCAGTGATCTATGTGTTTCATATAACAGATGAATGTGTAAATAAAGCTATTTTGAGTTCTCTTCAAGTTGTCTCATTGTTTTGTTGTGTCTTATGTTTTTTGTGTCTTATTGTTTTGTTGTGTCTTATTGTTTTGTTGTGTCTTATTGTTTTGTTGTGTCTTATTGTTTTGTTGTGTCTTATTGTTTTGTTGTGTCTTATGTTTTTTGTGTCTTATTGTTTTTTTGTGTCTTATTGTTTTGTTGTGTCTTATGAGAAGAATAGAGAAGATCAGGTGGACGGATCGAGTGACCAACGAAGAAGTATTGAGGAGAGTCAACGAGCAAAGATTACACGAAGGAAAGCTAACTGGCTGGGACATATTATGAGAAGGAATGGATTACTGAGTGATATCATCGAAGGCCAGGTTGAAGGAAAGCGAGGACTGGGAAGAAGACTGATGCACCTAACCGACGATCTGAAACAAGGAAGAAGATGAAGTTCCAGGAGTTAAAATGAGAAGCTGAGAATAGGGAAAACTGGCGAACTCTTTTTGGGCAGAGCAATGGACCTGTCGTCAGACAGAACACTCAATGATAATAATTGTTTTGTTGTGTCTTATTGTAGCACCACTGCCACTGGGTAAAAACGCATTTGCAGTTAATAATAAATAAATAAGTATAGAGTACACCTGTAATACAGCAAAGATTAAACACAAAATTGTATTTAGAAATTGGAAGCATAATAAAGACAGATTTGAGCAGATTCATAAACAAGGGCTATGCTGTTTCGCTTTATATCTGGACATAGTCTGAGACTTGATCAGAGTCACATACATTTTCTCTCTAACTCTTCATTTATCCTTGATTTCCGAAGGTACATACATACAAATCTGATAACAGTTTGATAGATGGAGGAGAAACAGTGAAAATAATTTGGAGGTATAAGGATTTATCTGATATATTCAGACCATTGCCACTTACTGGATTTCCTGGAGGTCCTGGAGGTCCAGGCACTGGAATGTACTTGGTATTCGTATCAAGTTCGCTGTGTGTCACTGGACCTGGTAAGCCAGGAGGACCTGGTGGACCAACAAGCCCAATTCCAGGGTGACCTCTTTCACCTTTGTCTCCCTTTTCACCTTTAGACTGAAATATAATAACACAAAACATTGTAATCATTCTCCTTATAATTGAATAATTAGCGGAGTTTTACTCGTAACCGTGACGTTCACCAAGCTATGACATCATACAGCATTTTTTCAATGGACTAAAATTCTTCCAAAATGAAGGAGAATTACTGACCAATCTGCGAGCAGGAAAAAGAATACTGCAACTAGTAATGCGCATAGTAAAACTTACCATAATGCTAAATGGTAGTTCTCCTGGTTCACCTCTCTCGCCTTTAAGACCAGGAAGACCAGGAACTCCAGGTCGCCCCGGAGAGCCCTAAAATATATGATGGAAATGCGTAAGGCCACAACGCTTGGTAACCAGTAAGTATATTTCTATAGAAAAATAATGTCTATGAGTCATAGGAAATAATGAGAAAGAAATTAAATTACAAGGTGACGGCACAGGGAGAGAGAGTAAACACGTTCCTTATATCATTCCGTAAATTCACATAATAAAGGATAAATCACAACTGTAAAAGCAATTCCGCCACATTCTTGGAAGATAATGTATCAGCGTATTCTTGTAGCGAATGCGGTTTAAAATGGTTTAGGGTGTGAGACACACACACAGACAGAACTCTGATCTCCTTTCCTTAAAAAAGGAAAGTAGCCTAATAATGGTATAATTCCTGACAAAACCTAACATACTAAGTTAAACTTATTCCGAGAATATTATGCATGAAGAGTGGAACATACTTACCTTTAATTGCTTGGATTGCAGAAAGAAAAAAAAAATCATTTTAGATTTAACATTGTTTTACAGTGGTGCCCAGTTACATTTGTCTTTGTTTATTTACAGTACCTTCCCCCCCCCTTTTTTAAATATGTGTGAAAAATTGTTACCTGTGAATTTTTGAACATACCCATTCATAGCACGCTGCATACAGAATTTTATGATGATGTTTGATCTGGGTGTAATGTTATACAATGGCCACAAATGTTACGTTTCAAGGGTTTAAAAATTGTAAGGGCTGCAGTAATGATCTTACCATCCATCCTGGCATCCCCATTTCTCCCACTGTCCCTGGTTTCCCAGGAGGACCCTGTGGCCCCGGTGGTCCCGCTTTCCCCCTTCGACCTCTCTTTCCGTGATCTCCCTTTTCTCCTTTGACTGTGATGTACTCTCCATCCACACCGGGGATTGTCGTAGGTCCAGGAGGGCCTCTTTCTCCTCTTTCACCCTTCATGCCAGGAGGACCCGCTGAACCTAGAGATCCTATCTCTCCTGGTTCTCCCTTTTCACCTGCTGATCCCTGCAATGAACAAAACAAACTCAAAATTATAAATAGGATACTTCAAGAGTAAGACGTGATATATCACACAGATTAATTTGCAAGACGAGGCAATGAAAATTACGCACCGAAGAGTTGACATAATTTGTACATTGAATGGGACACACGTTAGAAATGAGAAATTCGTACAAAAATTTTAATTGGAAAATGTGACGGGGGATACAAATTGGGAAACTACGTGTACATGAAAGGCTCATATTAAAATGGATCTGAAATAAAGTAAGAACTAAAATATAAATCCCCCACTTAATGGTACCTGTACCTTGTCTTGGTGGTGGGGCTTGAGTACCTCAGTGACCCCAAGAGCTATGCTGGCGGTAGCATAGCTACTGGTAGGGCCTCCCTAGCCAGATTGGTCGAGGGGGAGAGGTCAGACTAAGACAGGTACCCTGGTCCTCCAGGTTGGGGGTTGGTCGCAAGGCTAACAACCTTGCACCGTAAAATGGAAGATGTTTCGAAACCTCGATCAAAGCCTCGGACAGACCTAACAGAGCAGCGGAGGATAGGACCGAATACGGACCAGAGAGCCATAGAAGAAGAAGAAGAAAATATAAATCACTGGGATGAAGAGGTCCTGGTAGTATGCAGAAAATATGGAAAGACCATTATACCTCGAGAGTTAAGAAACAGACGGGTAAGCCTAATTTTTAGACGGCAGTCAATCCTATGGAGTGAAGTGAAGAGAATTAGGAATTTGATGGGCTAGGCAGAAGATTGGTCCAGGGAGCACAGCTCCTGTTGGTACACACCTGCATGCCATTGGCTCCCGGAATACCCGGCAATCCACTGCCGCCTCTGTCTCCTTTCTCGCCTTTGGGCCCGGTGTCTCCTTTCTCACCTTCCAAGCCTAAATCACCTTTGTCTCCCTTCAGAAGTAGTCCTTGTCCTGATAAAACAGAAGGAACATATGTTCGTAGTGAAAGGACGGTATCCCACGTGCCGCATTTATTCATGCTTCGACATGTATGAGGTGTAAATGTAAATCATTGGTTAACGTGGCATGACTGCTTTTTTACGTACCAGTTTTAGAGTTTTTATCAGTGTCGTACCATATCTTGTCTGCGCAGACATCAAACTGTAGCCCATTTAATGTAACGAAGTTCCAAAAAAGATGTATTTTTTTAATATAAGATCATTCACATGTTTCTAAACACAAGATGGAGGAGAATCTTAAATAAAAAGAATTTAATACTCGGATAACAGGAATTTTGGAAAGGAAACTGAGAAATGAGGAAAAACTTTGATCTGAAAATTACTAAACAGGGATTTCACTGCAAAATTAATCTGGGTGGGAGATAGACCCTTATAGCACATTAAATTATATAATTCTTTTTTAGATGACTTTGATAAAAACATTTGCAGAACTCTGACATTCGTTTACGTTTTACCAAAATATTTATTTAAAGCAACCAAAGTTTCTGTCTGTTGAGCAAACTGCATATTGGTGTCTATATTTATTTAGTTGTTTATTTAAAGATGCTGACACTGGTTCAGAATATGTAGCATTGAATGAGAAGATGATTAATAAATAACAAATTTGAAAGGATGTGGTAATGGGTGGTTCTGTCAATCGCCTCCAGGGACTGAAAAAAACAGTGAAAAACCTGAGTCAAGGATATCAGGTCTCTGGGCTGAGGTTTGAACCCAGGACCTATGAAATATGAAGAAAAGTTCTAAACACTGAGTCACAATGTTTGGTGCGGAGTGGCGGCAGAAACAATGTATACGATCTTTGCAAAACAAAAATTTTGAACTTACCTGTTGTGTCTATTCCTGATCCTGAGAAGTCTCCTTCGTCCGGATGGTACAAAGGCAGTGTGGGGGGGCCTGGAGGTCCAGGGGGCCCTTGTTTCCCAGGCTCACCTCCTTCACCTAGAATTTGTTCAAACAATTCTTTGACGAAGTTACTTTTGTCACGCAGTCTGAATGTGATCTGTCAAATTCCTTCAAGCGCCTAAACGGAGCAATATTTAAATCTTTGTGTGAAAGAAAAGCATTAAATAAAATCATACATACTTCAGAGTTAAAAATGTAATGGTTTCATTTACTACAAAATTGTTATCGCGTGCGTAATAACATCGCTCGGCACGTAGAACGACAAACGATACATCACCGTAGTCGAGCGATGAAGCAGAAATGAGGTTACATTTTTCCCTGCATTACACAAGGGAACGGAAGGAATTTTTGGTCTTTCCCAATGAACAATAAAGACTCATTGCAAATTAGGATGAAATCAGCCTTTCCAGAATAACTCCAAGTTGCAGGGCCTTTGCTGTATTACTCCTACAAAATTTGTAGCTACCTTTCTGCCCTTTGCTTCCATCTCGTCCATTTCCCCCTGGAATGCCTGGTAACCCATCTATTCCCGGTGAGCCAGGTTCTCCTTTGAAACCTTGAGTTCCCTGAGGGCCTTGGTGTCCCTGCCACAATAAAATGAACGCACTGAATTCATTATTTATTTCTCACAACAAACATCTTCATTCAAATATTGCCATGGCTGAGAATACTTGAGATTGGAAGCATTTATGGATATAATCACAACTCTTACTTATTCACTTCATAACGTTGTGACGTGTGTTACATTCATGTGTTTCTTCTTACCCTGTCACCCTTAAGTCCTTTCTGTCCCGAATCACCTCTTTCTCCTTTGCTTCCAGGAACTCCTCTCTCTCCAGGCACTCCAGGCATTCCAGCTATTCCAGTTTCACCCTTTGGGCCAGGACTACCTGGCCTACCAAGGGATGACCCCAAGCCAGATCCCAAAATCGTTTCCTGTATTTTATATAAAATTCAAAAACATATTCATTATAAAAAGATGACATGTTTTCTTCACACATGTTTGGATTTTGAAACTAAACAGTTAGGTTACGTTAGGTTAGGTTAAGTTAAGTTAGGTTAGGTTGAGTTAAGTTAGGTTAGGTTGAGTTAGGTAAGGTTAGGTTAGGTTAGGTTAGGTTATGCTCTGTCTACAAAGGTGGTAAAAAGATGGGACAAAACAGGGACAATTGCATCAGATGTAGTTGATAAGAGAACACATCAACCATGAACATTAAATGTATTTGATTATAAAAATATCCCTGAATGCTGTTAGTATGAAACATGATTTGTACATGAAGTAACAATGCAGTCATATTGCAACAGGGGGACTGGGGCACAGTGCAAATTTTATTTTGTTTACCCATGGAGGAAACTTGGCTATTTCAACCACTGTCCACCAGTATCATTTGTGGGCCTTGATGAAGCCCCAGTCTAATTAATGAAAATCTGTGAGACTATGGGCTTGCTTCCATCATTATTGAATGTACAGTGAAATGTATTACGATAACCATTCACACACTTGTTAAGACACTATGCAAATTGTAAAAAAATCATCACGTAATTCTTCCCTTCTTATGTAAAATAGAGTCTGTGGCTGTATTCGCCTTTCCCAATTTCATGCAAGTTATAAACAACGTTTAAAATGAACATGACATAAAACGTGATTGTCGTAAATTCTATACTATATCCCGGTATTAAACCTTGGTCTTTCAGTCTGCAGCCGATCACTTATCTGAATTAACCAGGTTTGATTGTTGTAAAAAATTAAGCCGGCATAATATGTCATTTACGAACATAATAAATCTTTTCGTAGTTCCATTGTTACGCATATCAAGTATAAGTGTTTTCTTCTGCCACAGATGTGGACTTAACCTAAAATGAATTTATATCTTCTGTTTCCTTGTCAAGTGAAGGTGATGGCACACAAACATAACATGTAGTACTATTTGAATCAACTACTTGTACCACACGTGCAGTGCCAACTAGGTCCCATCTTGCTCTGTGCAATTGTACGTGTGGTGTTGTTATTATACCAGCAGTGGAACTACGCAGGTGTGAATGTTGAAAAGTGCCAAATGTCACTTTCAATATTTTAACCATTTATAAAACTAATGTAAAGGAAACAATGCTGTTCCTTGGCAGAACATTTATTTCACTGTTCCGCTTTCAAGTTATTACACCTCAGGAAAAACGTACGAACTTCAACGGCTGAGCCATTGTTACAATTTTTATTATGGTTTCTCGTGATATTTTGGGGATTTCTGACATGATCCACTCTTCCTGATGGGTACATCTGCTATTTCCTACATGTGACTTTTACATTAATAACAGGCGTATGTCTCGTTATACGTCAATGAGTTAAAGACAAATATTTTTCCCTTAATATAACTACATCAGCACGACAAACATTAATAATTAGAACCCCATTGTGTGTGTATGCGAAGTAAGTGGTGTATTCGCTTACATTCAGAAAGTCCCAGGTTTGATATCAATTTCTACAAGAATTTTAACATAGAAGACGATCTGTTAATATAATAACCAAACACCCAAGAATAATAGTAGAAATATTACGTACATCAAATACACGTTCAACAATGGGCAATTCCCAACACAGTTATAATGAATCAACCGCTGTCTCGAACCTTCAGAGAATCATAACATTAACTTTGTTGAAGATACGCAATGAACACAATCATTGTCCAAAGATTTATAACACAGGATATTTATGAAAATGCATGGACACCATATAAATTACGTATTTGTAGCTCTCTGTGTTGAATTTTTGAACCACATTATACAAGCATTAACCTTTATTGGCTGTGCATCACGTCTTATGGCCTTGGGTCACGGCGTAAATGCTAATCGTTAAGATTTTAGATAAAAACCAGGCAGAAGGACTGTACTACTACGATTTAAACCCCTATTTCCATAAGATAAAGGTTAAAAATTAGTTTTCTGGCTTCTACAAAGAGCAAGTGGCACTTATCTTCTTAAATAATGGTCTTTGAATACAGGTAGCCCTCGATTTACGCCGGGGATGCGTTCCTGGACGAACCGGCGTAAATTGAAACTCTTTTATAATGTAAATCAATGGGAAGTCAATGACATGCGTTCCCAGCACCCAAATATTGACGAGTAATATAATGGCATTATATTTAAAGCTCTGAAATAACGTAAATAAAATAAAGGGAATTTAAAAAATGTTTTATACGCTTACAATCGGCAATTCGTTGGTCCCCGCGATAGTTGCATTCATGTACGACGCCGACCTATAGAAAAACGCGTAGTAAAAATAAACCCGGTACCTCCGCAGAGATTAAATTAATCCTTTGAAAGTTTAAAAGCGCCAGAAATGAAAATGCATAAGATCAAACTCGCATATGCAAAATTTTGCGTTTCACAAACAGCTTTTACCGATTCATCGATCTCATTGGAGCAAATTCGCGTTAACGAAACATACGTAACTGCAGAGATGACTGTATTTATAATTTTTATTCAAAATCAGCGATGTAAGAATTACGATTTAGTATAAGATACATTGTAAAACGTTATAAATAATAGTAAAATATATTTTTTCACTTTTTGACTTGCTGGTTTCAAAATCGGCGTGATTCTGAACCGGCGCAAATCGAGGGCTACCTGTAGTAAAATTTATGATAAACTGATACACATTTTAATTGTTCCTGAAGAAGCTGACATTCTTAATTAATGTTTACAAAGTAAAATCAATTGCATAAACAATTATAAATTGAATTCTAGACGACTTAAAATTCAACATCGAGTGCTACAATAAACAAACTATAACCTTTAAAACAACACAAAAGAATGGCTGAAATTTCAACATTCATACCTTAAACATCGTCCTAGGTTTCCAATTTGGCTACAAGAAAGCAGCATGAGTGGGGGCAAGAGAACAGCAATTGTTTAACCAAGGTAACAGCTACGTTCCACATGCAAAATGTGTCGCATGCACCAACATGCGCGCGTGCAATCATGCGCAATACCGTATTTATTTAATGAACCTCGACTATAATGCACACCTCAATTTTAAAACATTAATTTACTAGTTTTTATATACAATTAAACAATTTCTGAAAAAATATAACGCAATTACGTTTGTGTGAATTAATGCGTAGTCTTTTGGGAGTTGTAGAGTAAAAACTGTGCATTATATTAAGGTTAATATGGTAGTACACAGTTTTGAAGTACAGTCTCGTGGAAAAGTGATTGCACACTTGTAAATTGCTTTTGTCTGAGGGTAATCTAGGACTGGACTTTGAAATTCTGAGGCGCTGGGCTATGACAAGGTTAAGAGGCCCTAACCGCCACGGTTAGAACGCTGGGCTTGTAATCCTGGGGTCCCGGGTTCGATTCCCGGCGGTGCTCAGATTTTTAACTTGTGTTGGGCAAGGCCGTGGTCCAGGCATCAAGGAGGTTTCTTCCGGGGTTTTCCCCGGTTTCTCAGTGGCATCACAACAATTACTCCACTTTCATTATCATCTCGCAAAAAAAGGGGTCACAGCAGGAGCGTTAAATGTCGCGGTCCCGATCGAACCCATGTACTGATGGGTCGTGAATCCTGCTAACCACCAAAGCACACCATGCTGAATGGTGTGTAATGGATACGAAAAAAAAGGCCCCAAAGATTTGTAAGTCGAAATATAAATGTATTATTCTGACTGAAGGAAACAGTAAAAAACAAACATTTTCTGGTGTTCTGAGTGAAGCAGTATCAAGCAATGGAAACTGTGCTCGGGACAGAAATTTACCAGCGGGGAAAATATACCATTAAAGAAGATTTACCAACATTTATCTTAAACTAAAGGCGTAACTCTGTGGTACGTGAAGACGATTATCAGCTCAGAAGTGGCACGTGTTTACAGATAAAAGATGGCATCGGATAATGGATAATATTCTCAGGACTAAATCTTATAATATTGTACAGCAAAAAGAAACCTGTCATAATTGATTAGAATCACAAATGTGCAATCAAATTTCTAGATACGGCTCAATCAAAACTAGAATTACTTCCGCACAATACGGAAAACTGGAACGAAGTCCCTTTCAGCATTAATTCTCATTCCGACAGTGGTTCCCAACATGTCGGCAGCAACAGTCGATAAAGGTTAAAAAAGAATTTATTTCACGAATAAGAACAACTGCAATGCATATTCTGTTTCAAAATCATATCAAAATACCTGAAACTAGCTTTTTCAGATTTTTTTAATGTTATAATTTTTTAGACTGACAAATTTAAGTTACAATTCGCAATTTCTAGTCGTAAGAGAGAATGAAAAAATTCTGCGAAAAATGTATCTTACATATTGCGGTCGGAAAATTAAAATAAAGCAACGTTACTCTGAAGGGGAGTTCGTCGTCTCTTCAACTTTCACTATAAGCCCGATCAAATTATAGTAACAGATTTACGTTCATACGCCAGGCACGAAGACTCTGGGCATATTCCCTGATGCGCGCACCAACTTATATTTACGTAAATTGGGAACCACTGTATTATGGGCACAAACAACAGGGGTGTCAAATTTATTAAGTCAGTAGTTTGTCTCAGAGAGTACTGTTGAGGAACATAGAACATAATTTGGAAAATATTGGGATTATTACAAAAGTAAATACGTAAACACTTCTGTTGACGTCACACAGAAAAGGGTTATAATATATCTTATTTAAAATTATTTTAATTCAGAACGTTCTGAATTAAAAACGTGATAATTTTCTGAACACACTTCTCTAGAACATGCTGTTATAATGTAAACTATCTGGAAAGCAGTCCTACGTTGAAAAAAAAAATTGTTACGTACAATATGAATTGTAATGCCATTAGTTCCACTCTTGACTTATATTAAATATGTATTTTTTTTAAAATTTATTAGGCATATTAAATCAATTTTTCATTCGCAATAACAGGGCTACTGTTTGTGTATTTGTGCTCAAATACAATAGCGTGCTTGCAGTAAGTCATATTTTCTGCTTGATGTAGGCGCTAGTTAGCACATACATAATTATTCTCGATACGACGTGTCACATGCACTTCAACAACCCATATTTAAATTTAAATTAATTTACATAAAATTTGGTTTAATGGAGAGCCAAATGACGTAGGATTTCTGCATTAGACAATCTTTCATTCTGTAAGGACATAAATCACTAAATATCTCTTAATACTATAATTACTGTACTTAAAAGGGATTTCAATTCATTCAGATTCGCTTTACGAAGGTTTCACAGTCTTTAGGAAATTCCACTCTGACGGGTTCTCAAACAGTGGCTGTACTACTTACGTCATAGTTTGACAACTCGGACTTGCCCGGCAGCCCGGGGGGTCCCGGAGACCCTGGTATACCTGGCAAACCATCCCTTCCTGGTTCTCCTATGTAATTAACAAGCAAAAATTTTAAAAATTATTCCAAATTGTAGGTTAAAGGTGTACTTTTTATCCTCAAGTATATTTGGATCACAGAAATAAAGTAGACTATTTAACAGTGCCACATCAAGTGACGTGCTGAAGTCATTGAATGATGCCGCGTAAATTTCAGTTGATACAAAACAGATGAATATAGAAAATATCGCTGTAAAATGATCAGTAAATAAGGACCTTTAAGAATCTGTAATGTATTTTATTGTAATTATAATTGTTTATACATTTATCGTAATTTTAATGAACCAATGTGTACAATTTTCAATGCATCTGGCGCGTTAAGCGCCCGCCTCTCGAAAACCGTAAGAGATAGATTCGGACATATTGCGTACGAAATACGTATTACCTCTTGAGCTTTTAATATCTGTTTTCAGATTTTACTTATCACAAATGGTTTAGGTTCTACAAACATTTATTTATACAAACAAAGGCGCATCGCACTTCACGCTACTACTGCGTCTGCGTGTTGCGTCATACTACGTAGAGACAACAAGATGGACGACATTGAAGCTAAGAGAGTCCGTAATGCAGAATAAATAAATAAATAAAATAAAATAATAAAAAAACACTAATGCTGAACGTATGAGGGAATATAGAAATCGCGAGAAGCAATTATAATTTAAATACAAAGACGTATTAACGTCAGATTCTCCGAAACCGTGGTTCCAATGTCAATTTTTTCTAGCATCACTTGTTTCATACAGTTCAACGGAATAAATACATTCTTGATAATTAATAAAACTGAAGGCATGTTACTTACCCTTTGATCCCTGAATTCCTTCAGGTCCTGGTGACCCTGGATCTCCCCTGTCTCCTTTATCCCCTCGAGGTCCAGGCGGACCTCTTTCACCAGGAGGCCCAGGAAGACCCTACGAACCAATACAATTCCCAAAGTGCATACAGGGTGTGATAATGAATTTCATTTAGCCTGCTGCAAAGCTTACTTAATACGCTCCGTAAGTAGACTTACTGAAGTTCCTGGTGGTCCAGCCTTTCCATCAATACCAGGAACACCTGGAGGTCCTGGAATTGCATCCTGTAGTGTCAGAGAATTCAGGAATGTTGTCAAGTTGCAGGAACACACACCAGGAGGTCCAGGAGGGCCCATCAATCCACCACGAAGCTGAAATTCAATCACGATTTCTGTCTTAAAAATTTAATGGTACTGAGCATCACTGATCCCCAAGAATCATTATTACTATCACCATCATATTCAAATGCATCATCATGGTGGATGTTGATATTTTAACGTTGAATTACGTTTATAAAATCACGATGCACTCGACGGAAACTGTAAGACGCAAGGCAACGCTGGTGTGTAACTTCTTCAAACGCCAATAACTCGAGACCTATGTAAGATTGAGAATACAAACCTATATGTAAATTAAAGAGTAAATAAAGGGCTTATTAAACATGATGTTTACTTTATTCTATAAATTGTTGAAATAAATACCCAAAACACGTAATAACTATACCCTCGTTCCTTAACTTCAACCGCTTGCCACGTCTAAAGCGTAAGAGTTAGATCGGGACATATTGCGAGTGAAATACGTAAATAAACACGGGTTTTTCAAATTTGTAAACAGATTTCAAACTCTTACGGTTTAGGAGTTTTGGCCATTTATTTGGTAACAAAGAACGGTTAGAGAGAGAGAGTGTTGAGTACATGACGCAACACATAGATGAGATGGCGGCAGATGACGTCACGTATAGATAAGATGTAAAGGTATACATTAATGTGTAAATAAAATTTTATTTCAGTACAAATATACTTCTACAGTTAAACGTTATTCAACGTTAAAAAGGGAGCCGTGGTTCCACTGTCAATTTTTTTTTGTAATAACATAATTTTGTCGTGTTCTCAAACACGACTAATTACTCACAGGAAAATCTTCTCCTGATCCAGGAGAAAGGTCACTGAGCCCTGAATTGCCAGAATATGGAGGTCCAGGGGGGCCAGGAGGTCCTGGAGGCCCACGTATTGACTCTCCTGGAGGACCCTGAAAAAATACAAACAGGAATTATTCATGAAAAAAGAGCACTGTGTTTTTAACTGCAATTAATTGCAGACAAATTAATGCTGAATTAGTTTGGACGTTGCACTCAGGTCCTAAATCATCAATTAATTATTGTTGTTAATTGACTAATTCTATTCAGATGACCAGTCAGCTAATACAAAATGCCATGTCACTAGAAGTAATACAAATTTTATTATAATAACCCTTTCCATGTTACACCCAAATTATATTGCTTAGAAACAAAAATGTCCAACCATTTCTTATCATTCAAAGTTGACTGTGGATCTTCATCAATGTAAATTACTAATGCGAGAAAATGTCTTTATATAAAAATGGCATTTAGAGGGCTAAGGTATGAATTTCGTAAATATTAACTTTTAATTACGCAATAAAGACACTAATGGACTGCACAGTCTTCTCTAAAACGAATTTTAAGGTTAGAAATTGTGAATTCTAATAAATGACAATAACATTAGTCAGAAATATTTATATCATAGGCGAAGCTGGGATAAAATTTGTTGCCAAACAGAATATACTTAATCACAATTCAAACTAGCTTCAGAAAATGTAAAATATAAATTATTTAAGTTTCGCCATGTATAATTTCCTTATTGATAAGATTACAGATCCAGTGGGCGTTGTTCTGAGCATGGCAACGAAACATCGCGTTCCGTATCTACGGACAATTTCTTGGATAAAGCAGTTACCAACATTTCAAACAAGAAACTACACTACGAAATTTTAGTCGATGCATAATACATATTCCGAGTTAGATATAAGTGATAAAATCACAGTCACTTACCCGCGGACCTCTCTCTCCTTTATCGCCTTTTACACCTCGAGTTGTAAAGTCTAAAAAAGAAAAACAAGAAAATACACAAAATTTCTGAATACAGAATTTAATCTTTTCATGTCTAATGGCCAATACATGAGACACGTTTATGTTACCAATTTACACATTTTTCTTAAAATATCTGCACCCAAAGAAGATGTCTATACTCTATTGTCAGCCAGCTGACTGTTGCTTACGCTCGCAGTGAATACGTGTCTGGCCGGTGCTGGCTAATGATACATTTTATCTGATAGGTTCTGCCGTGTTCCAGTGTGGAGTACCACTCAAACACGAAAATAAGACTTATATTTTTCGTTTTTCAAGGTGTTAGCCTGACTAACATGGTTAATATGAATGCTTTGCCCCTGGCAAATAATCTAAGTACAAACAATTAACTTTCTAGTAGTTCTCATAAATAACTGTACTTATTGAGAACCCTAGAACTCATATTATTGAGATGTAGGACGTTCTTTGTATTTGCTTCGAAGATTCCACAATTTGGGAAGTGGCCGTGTAGATAATTTTAAAAACATTACAGGCTTTATCACCTGTTTATGTTTCTATTTACACACATATAATCGTGTTTAAAGCACACTGAAAGTGGTAGCATAATTCTATTAATTAGTGCAGGGGTGTGAAAAAGTTTCATATACACACACAATTAAGGAAATACGGGAACTTTTTCACTAACAAAGTTTAATTTTACTTTGCTTCTAGATGAACAAAACTGATGACAAAGAATCTGAAGAGCTGGAAATGATGCAGTTGTGTGGCATTACAAGGCAAACATTTTGAATAAGCTCTTTATTTGCCAAACAGTGCGTGTTTGAGGCACTATTATCATTTAACATACTCACCCCTGGACCAACTGACTCAACATATTATGGAGCCTTTGATCTGTGCAGTGCGTCCATAGAGGAGCGTATATAATAACTGGAAGGGGTGAAACACTTTTGGACCAAAATCAGCTTTGTCTCAAGAACTTTTGGGACACTCTATATATGCTAAGGTGAATTTCAAAAGCTGAAATGATGATTGGGCAAAATGGCGTTACGTCCGTCCCAAACGGAGAAAGAAATACGTCAAATGACGTCAGAACAGTTTATTTGAACCTCAGTATCATGGACGGACGTACCGTTAGGACCAGGGGGAGGTGGGGGGAAGGGAGGCAACAAACCTCCAGTTTCCCCTCTGCCACTTCCTTCACCACTGGAGAGTATCGAATCTTCACCTCCTTCTTCCTGATCCACCTGCAACATCACAAACACAAATACTTGATAATACGTACACTTTCTGCCGGCCAAACAGAAGTGCGGCACAATGAAAAGCCATTTGATACATGCGCGGTGTCCCACAGAACTCGACAACGGGAAGGCAAAATACGGAACAATGTAAAAACGAAAAAGTTGTTGCAAATCGAAGTGTTTCCGTTCTCAAGAACTGCGTTTCCTTTGTTTTGTTTTTCTACGACGAGCCGTTATGGCGCTGTACTAACATTTCAATAGTTGAATGTCGAGGCAGTGTTACCACGTTTACATGACAGCCAAATGGGGAATTTCCCTATAGACCCTGATTATGGGGCACTTTATATAAAATTCACAATTACTAGATAGCCCAGTGGATAGTTAAATGCAATTCTCTCATGCCAACTTCAAGCACAGCTGCCAAGAACGCGAAGCCAATTTTATAATCTGCAGATGTGAGTCGAATGGTATTAGTCCAGAAGGAAAATGATAATGACAGAATAGTATTAAAATGTAATTAGAAATTGTGTCATGATTTTAAATGGAGATATTAGTAATATATAAAATTAAAACTGACACATTCAACCCCGACGTATGAAGGGCAAGACTCTCAAACAATATTTATATATTTTATTGAAATATAATACTGAAAATAAAGAAACATTTTCTATTTTCTCCAGGTCTGATATTTTGTTTTCTTATTCGATATTCTGACTGAAGTAAAACAGCAACAATTGACACAAAAAACGTTGTAATGAGGTAACTTCAACCACAAAGTACCAACAATTAGACTATTTAGACTTTCCGAAAACGCGTTCCTAAATAAACGAAGATTCATCCATTTAATCCACATTGTTAAAACAAAAATCCGCAAGACGTCTCATAACACGTTAACTGCAACTAGATCCACAGTAAATCTGCACAAAAATGTCAACCCAACGTCAAAATAAACTTCTTAGGACACTAAACCAGCCGATTTTGTTGGATTTAAGAACTTCGTGGTAAAGTAAGGCGACTTAACCTTTTAATGCGAAGTGGTAACTATATGTACCACCTACTTTAACAACGAGTAATCGCGCTTTTCGCGTAGAATGTATTTGTGTGTTTCATATGATTCTCATTGAAAACCAGTTGATCTTTGTAATGGTGAAGTGTGGTGTTTTCTTTGCGGTACGGACTGAATTCTTATATTATTCAGAAGCGTTTCGGCTTCACAGGGTTACCAGGAAGACATCAGACTACGAGGCGTCATGGCAACCAGCGTCTATTCTTGGCCAGTTCTTCTTAACGGTAGGAGTAAGTTAACGCACTGACCAATACCCACGGAGAATACTTTTATATCGAGTAGTTGTGTCTGTCGTTCTACTTCGTGGTACTGAACTGCGATCCAACGAAGTACGCACACTCCCATTTTAAATTTTACGTCTCTCTCACTTTCATTATTTGTAGCGGGTACAGGGATGACTTCGCCCACACGTCTTCATGACGTGGTGTTTAATTAAGCACAGGTGCAACGGTACCTTCACCTAACTCTTCCTTCATTTTAATTTAATTCTGTTTTTTATCTGCGTATCTTTTCAGAGTCTTAAACCGTATCACATCTGCAAGGGACGCTATCCCACGACGAACTCCCCTCCCTCTAAATTGGAAGCGAGCCAACAGATATAGGTATTAATCCTGATCCAGGATAGTAGCAGGAAAGGATCTCCTAAGTCAGTTCCTTCGTGTAGACAAACTAACCGCGCAGTAAGAACTTGAAGTACTTCTAGTGGTGATCCGCGCTGTACAAGGAGCACTTATGGAGACTTGTTCTGTAATTTCCTTTCAGATGTCTGTCATCTTCTTCAGTACTGACATGATTTATCTTTAATGAATTTCTAGGCCGGATTATAATCTAACAATAACGCCTGTAAATAAAGTGTTGGCTGGTAATTTGATTGGTGATCATTTGACGTTACATGACTTTGGGCTCTATGAGATAATATTTATGAATGCGTGTTGTTATAACCGTTGCCATGGTAATGCTGTTAAGGGATTCTGGGCCTTACAGCGCAATACCTGCGAATGTGCGTTTACTACTTTGGATATACCCATAATTATCGACGGAATGAATCTTCAGGTTTCATAAAAGACGGGTTATTTCTTTAATATCTGAGTGTACTGTTGGCTTTTCGGGAAGGGCTGTATTCCAAGAAGTCAGTTTAGGTACAATGCAACTTTCCTTTTCATTAAGCTGCTTGTAAGGTATTAACATCGTTTTGATGTTAAAGTAATCTCGGAATTGAGGCTGGAAATATCACGAAACTGTCCGTACGCTGCTCGTACAGAACAAAGCAAACTGTGCCCTCTTGTTAACTGCACTCTACCCATGTACAAGAGTCAGGGCGGCAAGAAATGTAAACACAATTCAGGCAAGGAAGATGGAGGCTGGATACGTGGGTTGAAACTTCGATGCTCTGTCGACACTTCACGTCGGACGTGACGCTATTTCCGAAATTTCACAGAGTGAGGTTTATCGTGAGGTTTAGCTTTGCGTTTGCAACCAAACGCAGACCCCCATCCATCATAGGATCGATACATAAGTCTGGCCATTTCTTCAATTTCATCTGTTCACTAAATGATACGTAACAAATTTTACAATGATTATCCTTGCTTCATTTAGACCCTAAGACAGAAGCATATGGACATAAATCAACGTTTCGGAGGAGCATAACGCTCTATGTTCAAGGCTGAAGATTGGGGGCAATATGTTCCTTTGAAACGCTGGTATTTACCTAAAAATCCACGGTATTACAACGAAAAATATTAATTACCGTCAGAATCTCAAATTTCATATAAATAAATTTTGAAATTAGTAATCGACCGCGTGATTCAATGACCCAGTGCCCAACAGATCCAATGACTTGAACCTGATACCGGTGACAGTTGAAGGAGTCGAAGTCATTAAATCATTTGGGAAATGATTTCTGGGGCTCCACGTGGCTAATTGTGAATCATTAGATGCATGGGAAGTTTCAGACACTCGTAGGCGGAAAACGATTTAATTGGCGAACAAGTCTCAAATTCATTCAGGGAAATGCCACGCTCCTGGTAATCGAAGCAAGCTGCTTGTAGATGTAACGGGCATTAAGCATGTTGAGAATCTAAGACTCCAAAACTTTGAAATCCTGTTGTATTATACATGGCCATTATATCAGTCATGTTCGCAGGACACAAACACAGTGAGATAATGAAGACGTCCATGTAGCTATCTTACGCGGACACGCCAATGAAGATAAATCTTCCATCTGTGAAGGAGTTCATCTCTTCATTGTACCAGTCATGTGTGGTACAGTTTTCAAAATGTAAAAAAAATTGTCAAAATTTTTTAACAAAAAAGTTTCCGTCACTGAAAATACATCACGACTCACAAGCGATATTAACAAAACGGTCTCTGAGTAAATGATGGAAGTATTTTTCCCCGTGAGTGTTACAATTTTAGAATGTCCACTTGCAGCGCGTGCAACCAGCAACTGCCAAAAACCAAGTGCATCGAACGCAAACAATGCACTAATACTGGGGGCAGGAATGGGATATTATTATCCATAGCTTAATTATGCCTGTCCCGCACCTGTCCGTGCGTTTGTAAAAATAACATCTTTGGAGTCGACCTCTCGAACACTTGAGAAGATTTCCGACGGGTCGACTCATGAGGGGGGCCGGGGAGGGGATCCAACACGATTAGAACATGAACCAGTGAACTTAAACTTACTGACATGACGGGAATCCAAGTGTGATGGCCATTGCTTATAAATACTGTAGTTAAATAAGATTGAACTAAACAGCCCTGTGTTATTCCGTCAAATAAGGCAACCAGGCTGAGCGTCATGTCCGTGTGTCAGCACCCCCACCCCCTTATAAAAAGTTCTGAATCATTTTCATAAAACGTCTTATCTACAAATGTACCCTTCTCCACAATTTATTCATTCTCCCATTAAATCATTGGGTCTACGTTGATCACTCGTCCGCTAAGTAGCAAACACGTACTTTGAATTTAAAAAAAACAGTTAAAAGCAATTCAAGATTGAAACGTGATAGGCCAATATATTCAGAAGCTTATAAATTTTGTAGTAACCGTATTTAAAATGTTTTTAAGCTACAGAAAATGCTTGATCATCACAGATGTTAGCAGCTCAATTATGGCAACACGTCCCAATATTACGTCACTGAGGGTCTCTTCAGTCTGGGGGATCAAAGGGAAAGATGTAGTACTCTGAAAATAAACATATCAAAGACAAACAAACGACAGGCTACTCAACAAGACATTGATGGAAAATATATCAGGAAGTTTACACTGCAATTCTATGAAATCTAATAACACAAGGCGGTCATGTGTTTGTCCAAACAGAATCCGATGTATATGAAACAAAGATTTACTTATCACATATTAATAGAGGACATCGGAGGCGGAACTAGCCATTTTTAAGATCGTGGAAGATCAAAGATCTATAGATCCCTCCTCTAGTTTGCAGAGTCAATAAACATGACTGTGACAGCACGTTTCATGATTAATTTGTTCTCTGTTAGCAGAACCTGGTAACTCCAGACTCTTCGACGATACTGCCCCGAGATGCTTTATCCATCTCCCATTACTTTATAATCCCTAAGATCTATCGTATTGTTAAATCTCATATGTAATATTTATCATTACAGCGTCAATATCAGAGGAATAGATAAGTAAATATTGAAAACCAATCTAACTTATTTTCTTTAAGTAAACATTTACTTCAATATATTTATTATACTGGTTTCCCTTATATTGTCTTTATGTACAAGGTGTCCCAAAAAGATGTACACAAATTACAATACCTTGAATCGATCATTGGTGCCACGAAGCTAACGGTGGACCATTTAACACCTGCAATGACCAGCTAATTCACTAAGTGCCAATTCTGACACACGTAATAATTTAGTTTGTTAAAATGCCTTTATTTAATTTATTAAATGTGCATGCATCTTTAATCCAC